CTTCGGCTGACTTCCTTGAATAAGACGTCCTTCAATTTTGAGCATAAGGATTTTAGAAAAAAGTATCGTCTTATAGTCAGAAAAATATGGTATATCATTTTCAAAAGCAGTTACTCTGCCTGTTTTATAGTTCCTTGGCAACATCAAGCCATTCCTCCAGGACTGGGGTGCCCATGGCTGGTGCCAGTGACGGGTCCAAGCCATCAGTATCAAAACTGAAGTGAATTGGTCCCTTCTTCCTGAAGAGTAGAAACAGTTTTTTGGTTTGAAAGTTGTGGCTCCTTTGAAGAACTTTAAAATAATAAAACAACAGTTTGCTTCCTTTACACAACCCAGTGCTAGAAGTTTCATGGGTGATTTTTCTTATTCTTCCCAATTCTGATTGCAACCCCAGTCTCTGTTTGTCCCCTCATTTAAAAAATTTTATAAGCATGCACTTACTTGGCCCATAAATATGCAAGCGTTTCTTCCATCATTTTCCCAATTCCAAGTTTATCTACTTCAGACATGGAAAAGCATTTGATTCCAAGAGAGTTCACAAGGTTACTTAAAAATGTAGAATACAGGATGCATGAGTGACTTTTTTTCACCTGCACCTCAAACTAATACTGACTGTTGCCAGTCTTCCTGTTCATTTGTCCCAGCAGCGTGAATTCTGCATCCAGCACGTTTGAACACTGTGAAAACACTCCATTTTCTATACTGTTGGCATTTCATTTAAGCTCCAGGAACCCGTGGCATCCCTTAGAAAGTTAGCAGAGGGATCTTGATGAAAAGATTGTGTTGTGAGCCCTCAAAGACAATGGCCCTTTACATGCTCACTTTAAATGGGATGAGGCTCCACAGAACTGGCTTACGCTCTCTCTGAATTAAAACCGCACCTTAGAACTTAGGAAGAAAGGCTTGTTCACATTTCATGAATTTATAATTAGATATTGGGCAATGCCAATAAAGCCAGAGTTAAAAATCTTAGTTCACTTCCTAAAAAGTAAGTCCTGTTTAACTCAATGGAAGATCCTGAGTGTAATGTTAAACTCACAGTTCTCCGCATCTCTTATTCCAAGATATACAACATTTCTGGCTGACAAGCGTGGCTTCATCTAATAAAATCCAGGAACATCAGGCATCTAAACAAATTATTTTTCAAAAAGGTTGAGTTAAATGATCATACTGCTAATTGAATCTCAGCTGAAACCCTACATAATAATTCTTTTTATTGAGAAGAGCACTATCACCACCACCAAAACAAAAGTGTAATTATGATCAAGGAAAGCATTACAGCATCACCATGACTCACATCCATTTCTCCAACATCAGCTGCTTCCCCAATTGTCATTTTTTTTTTCTGAAGAGTTATGTAGAGAACCTGAGAGAATGTTATGTTATCTTTGATTCTTAAGCAACCTATCCAGAGCTTGTTTTATGCTTAAAACTGCTGTGCCCAGGGAGAAAATTCATTTAGAAGCCAGAAATTGATTTTAAAAAATCCTTTCTTTCCAAGTCAGACAGACATTTACTTGCAAATTACATATTCTGTCAGATGTGTGAGCCAGGGAACAAGACAATTCAAAGATAACAACAGAACTGAAATTCCCACTGAATCAATTATTTTGGAATCACATGAATCCACACAGCGACTTCAGTACTGCTTAAAAGCTCCATAATAAGGTCTGTGTGAGAGAGGGATCTTAGTTGAATAAAAACATTTATTTAATACTTTTGTCATTATTTATTCATAACTAATAATTATTTTGCCTTATATGTTTACCTGGACAGAAAAGATGGACAAGAACGCTGGGCTAAACCTTCTCAAGGCCAAGCAACACTGAGAGTTAGATAATGCAAATCTTTACAGGTCACAATCAAACATAAGATAATGTTTTAAAGTACAGGTAGTCCTTGACCTACAACCATTTGTTCAGCAACTGCTCCAAGTTATGACAGTGCTGAACGAATAGTGGTTGTGTGACTAGTCCTCAGAGATCCAGCCATCCCAGCACCCCCACGGTCACATGATCACAATCTGGGTGCTTGGTAACCAGTTTGCACTTACATGATTGCCATTTGTAACTTTCCCTGCCAGCTACCCAAGAAAGTCAGTGGGGAAGCCAGCAGGGAAGGTCGCAAGTCACTGGGGTAAGTCTCCCCCACCCACTCACCCTTCCCCAGCTCCTCTGTGCTTGCGCCATGCTGGCCACTTGTGCACTGCTGCGCACCTCCCCAACCCGCCCCACACCTCTCATGCACCACCTCATGTACCTGCCCTGACCCATGCCACGCCTCTCATGTACTCCCTTGCACCCTCCTGCACTCTCCCTGACCCACATTGTGCCTCTTATGCACCCTTCCCAATCTTCCCCTGCATTCTTGTGCACTCCCTCGCTCTCTCCCCCACCTGGCAGCAGCCATTTACCTGCCTGCGCGCCTGGGACTTACAACTTCCTGCTGGCTTCCCCACTGACTTTGGTTGTGGGAAGCTGGCAGGAAGTTGCCTCACCTCACCACCCTAAGATTCCGGTAATGATGGCAACTGGGACTGCAGGGATTGCTGTCACTAAGTGATGCAGTCACACTTTACAACCACATTGCTTGGTGATGGAAATTCTGGTCCCAATTGCCATCGTAAGTTGAGGACTACCTTAATATTTGATATCTTTTAGAAACACAAAAGAAATAGAAAGCTATGTTTTCAAG